TGCTGATAGCTCTTCTCTGAGCCTTGGTTTGCTCCTTTGGCTGCACTGAATCAATTCCCTGATCTATAGCAGAGCTCCAGGCTCTGGGGCAGTATGACAGAGCAGATGGGGAGATCTTTCCCGTTTGTCCTTTAGTCCCCATGTCACTTGTTACCCTGAGATCTCCTGCAGCATAAGATTTGGCTCTGGAGTTACTCTGTGACGTTGGAAATGTTGTCACCTCCCTGTGGCAGATGGGGAATCGCCAGTTTGTGGTGGAGCCCGGGTGGAACCTGCAGCGAGAGTTGCCCATCCCTGTCCTCATTTCTCACCACTTAAATAATTTTTCTGGTGTGAAAGGGAAGGTCCTTTTGTACTTGTGAAAAATCTCATATCTCCCCTATAAAACAACTCCTTAAAGGATTTTGAGATGTAACATTGTCAGACCAAAACTGAGCTTTGCTCAGTGCAGCATCCATGTGAGACCCGATTTTTAAATTAATTTATTTAAATAATAAGAATAAAAGCCTGTAGCAGGGCTGGACTTGCTGGTCCCCTCTGCAGACCCCAGCTCCTGGTCCCAGTGGGTGCTGTCACAGACCATGTGGTGCTTTTCCATACAGGATTCCCTTAGAGCTGTTGGAAGAATGCCAGCTCCCTGGGTAACCAGTACCATTTGCTCATCAGGTTGGGATCTCTCTGGTTACAGGAGCTGCACCGCAGCCACCACTCCCGGGTCACCCTGTGCTCCGGGATGTTCTGGCTTCTCCAGAGACACATTAACATGGGGATTCATACACCTGCCTTGGTCTTCTGTAGGGCTTGCTTGTCTGACCCATCACCACTGGAGACAGATGCTTCCTTGGTGGACATTCCCAAGTCTCTTCGGAGGAGTGAAGTTAAAAATAGATATTTTTAAAGCCCTCTTTCAAGCAGTGGTGATGCCACTTGCAGACATTCCTGTTCTGGATTCCCTTCTGGCTTGTGGCTGCTTCCATACAGTGCCTCCAGTCAGAGGGATGGACTCAGGGATCCCTGTGTCCCCAGATTGGAGGTTTCACTCCCATAGGATGCTGGGGTTGAGTAGCTGTGGTTGCCATGTGCTGACGTGAGTTTTGATGTAGCTGCTGCCTCTGCTCTGCAGTAAATCTAGAGCTGTTGTCCCTTTCTGGTGCTTTCCAACTAGTTCCTCTGGAAAGCAACTATTTACAGAACCTGGAATGACATCCTGGCCCATGTATTTGGGAAACATTCTTAGATACCTGCTGTGGCAATGGTTCTGCTGTTAACTCCAAAGTACCAGAGCGACCGGAGCCGTGCTGTCCTTCCACACAGAGTCAAGCGCAGTCCGTGGAGGAGCTGTCACCCAGCCACCCACACTGCCCTGTCCCTGGGGTGCAGCATGTAGTGGGACTTAACAGAGGGGGTGACAGGCACACAGGGCCAGGGTGGCACGTCCCAGTCCCTCTAGGCTGAGGGGCTGCGGGTGGTCCTGAGCGGTGTTTCCCGAGAGCCGCAGGGCCACAGCCGCCCGACGCTGCTCCCAGAGGGCAGTTCTTGACTCTGCCCTTTTTCCTGGCAGTTTCAGATCGGAGAGCTGGCAAATACTCTGACTAGTAAATTGGAGTTCCTGGGCATCAACAGACAATCTATCTCCAACTTCCACATGTTGCTGTTGCAGACAGAGGTAACCGAGCCTTCGCCCCTCGCTCCGGCCTCGTGTTCCGGAGCGGATCGGATGCAATCCGCCGTCCGAGCGCCGGTGCTGCGTGAGCCTCATGGCGCCCTCCCTTCCTCGGCGGGGGGAGAGCGTGGCTTGGCGCGGAGGCGGGGTGTCCTCCTCCTGGCCCCCCGCGTCCTGTGCCGCAAGGGAGCCTCCCGATCCTCGAGTCCCGTCCCCCCCAGGGCCGCTGGCAGCCCACCTCACCGGCTTCCCCCGGTTCTTGCCCTCTAGACCCGCATTGCAGACTGGCGAGAAGGTGCTCTCAATGGAAACTACCTCAAACGCAAACTCCAAGACGCAGCCGAACAGCTTAAACAATACGAAATAAACGCCACCCCTAAAGGCTGGTCCTGCCACTGGGACAGGTACGCGCTCTCCTCCTTTCTCACCTTTCATCTCTGACATCTCAGACATGATTTGTGACCATCAACCACCCGACGACGCTGGCGCCGTCCCTCTGGCAGACTGAGAACGGCTTCTGTTAGTGCTGGGCAGGCAGAGAAACGTCCGGCACTCGCAGAGTTTGGGCCAGCCACCAAACAGGAGGATCCAAACGGAGTGCCCAGTGCTTTGCGACGGAGCAGATTCCCTGACGGACAGAGCTGGTTGTGCCTCTCGCGAGTGTCCAGCGCTGTGGAGGGCGGGCCTGGGGGGTCGCGCATGCGAGAGCTCTGTGAACTTTGCAGGATCTCTGGATCAACTCTTCTGACCAACAGCTCTTCTAAAGGACAAACTTCAACTCACCGACGGAACGAAGAACAAGATTTCTGTCTCCTGCCAGCAGGTCAGACCCAAACATTTCTTTGTCTATTTGGCTTTCTTGATTAATTTTCCTTTGTTTGAAATCTTTGCTCTTTTGTTTTTCAGCTCCCAGATCCGCTCCCTCTCTCTAGCATTCACTGTGTGTTTGACACCAAGAGTATCATAAAAAACTGCGCACCATGGGGTAGGGGGGCAGCCGCTTCCCTCCATTGGGCTGTTCCCCTGTGCCTCTTCTCGGAGGGCGACTTTCAGCCAAGGCCGTGCTGAAAGTCCCAATGTTAGCGAGACGTTGCCAGCCTTCCCGGCCCTCCTCTCCCTCGGAGCGGGGGGGCTCAGGGCGACGTTCCCGCAGCCAGCGAGAGCAAATAGCTTTGAGCGAGTCGGCTCGGGCCTCTCCTGCCTCTGTCCTCAAAGTTGTTTGTTGTGTGTGGGAGAGCGGCAGCCCTGCTGCACGAGGGTCTCCCCTGCGAGAGCGCACCGCTGTCGTGGGCAGGCCCGCCTTGGAGTGTCGGGGGCGGAGAAGGGAAGCTGAAGCCTCCTTTTCTTTCTTGTGATCTAGGGAGCATAGACGCTATTTCTATGTTAATGAGCGCTCGGGAGAGTCGCAATGGGAGTTCCCCGACGGGGAGGACGAAGAGGAGGGACAGCGAGGCGCCACCGACAGAAAACCCGAGAGTCCTCCAAAGCCACCTCCCAAAGACAAAGGAGAGCACGCCGAGGGGCCTGCCGAGCGCCCCGCAGGTACGCCTCGCTGGCAGGGGGTCCTGGCCCCAGAGTGGGGGGTGGAAGGCAGGGCAGTCCACGGTGGCGGTGCCTCTGAGCAGGACCATGGGCAAGAGTGGGTGGTACAGACCATAGACTGTGCATTCAAGCCTGTGTCAATGTGTGTTCTTCAGGCTCCCTTTGTAAAGAATCCTTCTCAGGCCAAGTTCCTGCTACGTCTCTCATGCCGCTCACTCCGTTTTGGACTCTGCTTCAGTCCTCCGTCCCAGTCCTCCAACCTCCCTTGCCTTTGGAAATGCCCCCGCCACCTCCACCCCCTCCAGACTCGCCCCCGCCACCTCCACCGCCACCCCCACCGCCTGGAGAAGATGGGGAGATCCAGGAAGTGGAGATGGAAGATGAGGGGGGTGAGGAGCCGCCTGCCCCAGGAACAGAGGAGGATGCTCCTCTGAAGTCCCTGGTGCGCCCTGCTGCCAGCAGCAGCCAGGTGAGCATGGGAGCCAGGGCTCCAGCGCTTGCAGAGTGTGAGACTCTGGGAAATGGGTGTGTAATGGTGCTCCCGGCTCAACACTCACCTCAGCGCTCTCTTCCAGGCCGCTGTCGATCCAAGCCCAGCCCCGCTGCTCTCGGCCAAGCCGCAGAAGAGAAAAGCAGTGGAGATGAGCCCGGGCTTGGTGCAGCGCACGGCCACCATTGGCAGCTGCCCCGTCATCTACAGCCAGCCCCTGATGGCCACGGGCAAGTACCAGCCCTCAGCCGTGCCCTTGGCCTCCCTAAGGCCGCGCCAGCGCCTCCAGAGCGAGATCCAGGGGCGCCCCAACCTGCGCATGGCTCCCGGCCACGCTGGCCCTCAGCCCGCGGCGCTGGGGCTGCAGTCCAGCTACCTGGGCGTGACGGGCCCTGCCGCGCCTTCCATGATGGGATACTCGGAGTGCGCCGTGCCCGTCAGCCTGGCCAGCACGGCCAGCACGCAGCCGGTGCCAGCACGGGGAGCCCTGCCAGCCACGGGCACGGCAGCAGAGCAGCCGCCGCCCCCGCCACCCCCACAGACGCCCCCTCCGCCCACCCCCAAGGCGCCGCCGCCTCCAGAGAAGGAGAAGCCAAGGAAGGGGCGCAAGGACAAGGTAGGCCAGATGGGTGGAATCACACCGACACCTTCCTTCCCTCCTCCCTTTCCAGCCATGTTCACCACTGTTATTTTTGTGGCACAGGGCAAAAAGGGCAAGACAAAGATGCCATCGCTGGTGAAGAAGTGGCAAAGTATCCAGCGGGAGCTGGATGAGGAGGAGAATTCCAGCTCCAGTGAGGAGGACCGGGAGACCACAGCCCAGCGGCGCATTGAGGAGTGGAAGCAGCAGCAGCTGATGAGGTACAGACCCTGGGGGCTGGCACCAGGACATTTCCTGGTGCCTTGTAAAGGTGGGGGGGGATCCCTGAGAGGGATAGCTGGGTGCTGACATTCTGCTTTATCCCTGCAGTGGCATGGCTGAGAGGAATGCCAACTTCGAGGCACTGCCAGAGGACTGGCGGTCACGGCTGAAGCGGAGGAAAACGGCCTCGAGCACATGAGGCATGCAGGGCCGTGCCCACCTCTTGGGGTTTTTTTGTTTTGGTATTTTTTATTTTTACAGATGTACAGTTCCTTTGACCATTGTCCAATAAATCGTAGCAGTTTGGGAAGTGCCATCTCATTGATTCTGCTAAGGGCAGGTGGTAGATGGGGATGGGGAGCACAGCAGACCCCTGTAATCCATAATTACTGGATGGGTGGGTGTGTGGATTGTGGAGGCAGGAAGGCTCTGCAGAGGAAACTGGACAGGCTGGATTGAAGGGCTGAGGGTAAAGGCCAAGTGTCATGTCCTACACTTTTGTCACAGAAACCCTGTTGAATGTTCCAGGCTGGGGGAAGAGAGGCCCGAAAGCTGAGAAAGGTCATGGGCGTGCTGGGGAGAGCAGCTGAACAGGAGCCAAGGTGGACAAAAGGCCGATGGCACCTGGGCTGTACCAGCATTGGTGTGGCCACAGGCCCATCCCCTGTTCTGACACTGCTGGGCCAGCTCCAGCAGTGGAGGTGGCCTCTACTCTACCTGGGGACAAATCTGGAGCCCTCATGGCAACAAGGGCTGTCCAAAGAAGGGAATGGAGCAGAGGAAGGGTCTGGAGCACTGGGAGGAGCTGGGGGGGTGGCTCAGCCTGGACTAAAGGAGGCCTGGGGGGACCCTCTGGCTCTCCACAACTCCTTGACAGGAGGGTGCAACCAGGAGCTGTGTCAGGCTCTGCTGCCAGGGAACAAGGGCTGGGACAAGAGAAAACAGCCTCAAGCTCTGCTAGGGGAAGTTGAGATTGGACATGAGGAGGAATTTTTTCATTGAAAGTGTTGTCAGACATCAGAAGGGGCTGCTGAGAAAGGTGGTGGAGTCCCCAGCCCTGGAGGTGTCCAAGGAATAACTGGACATGGCACTCTGGTCTGGGTGATGAGGTGGGTATTGGTCACAGGTCGGGCTCAATGATCCTGGAGGTCTTTTCTAACCTGAGTGACTCTGAAATCCCTCTGGCTCCTTTCCCAGCTCTGCTCCAGGACCGCCCCATTCCTCCCTGTAGCTCAGCAACCACTTGCCAGCCCAGCCCTGACACTGCCTCTGCTGTTCCGGGTCTCCCGGGACTCTCAGAGCCATGGAGCCCGCAGGGCGCCGCGCTGCCCAGGGAGGGGAGGGAGGTTTTGGTGGGGGACGGGTCCTGAAGCCCTATGACAGCTTCATCCGCACCCACCTGCGCTTCTATGGCTACTTCCGAGGTGAGGCCTGGCCGCTGTGCCCTCCTGTCCCTGGGCTGTGTCCCCTCCTGTCCCCTGGCTGCAGCGCTGCTCTCCCCAAGATGAGAAGACGGGCAGAGAAGAGACTGCCATGTCCCCGGGGGAACCCTCCGGGCAGCATCCCAAGGCATCCACCAGCCCTGGCTGTCAACGAGGCCCTGGGCACGAGCCAAACCGTGAGTGAGACCCTGCAGCCCCTCACAGCCCCCCGGGCAGTGCCCTCCCAGCACAGCAAGTGTGGTGGGAGGGCCTCTCCCTGTCCCTGCCTTGGTTTTGGGGAATGCTCCTAGCCCAACCACACTGGAGACCCCCAGCCCTTCCCGGTGCTCGTGCAGCCCCCAGGGTGGTGCAGATGTCCCACCAGGGCAGACCAGCCCCCTTAACGCAGCCCTGGAGGTCTCCAGGAGAAGCACAGGCTCCATTCTCCCTCCCCGCTCCCTGCTGGCCTGTGGAGTGTGAAGTCATCCAGGAGACGATTGAGCACATCGGTGAGGGGATGCTCCAGCTGTCCCCCTGCCTCACCCCTGTGCCAGACCCTGTTGTGTGTATGGCGTTTGTCTCTGTGTCCCCCGTCTCCCAGAGTGGGTCCCCCCCAAACCAGAGCCCTTCTGCCCTCCCATGGGCCCGGAGCAGGCCCTGTACACCCTCGGTGAGGAGCAGGGCACTGTCGTCTACCACTGCAGCCCAGGTAAGGGAGCACAGGCAGCACCCCTGTGTGCCTCCGCTCTCCCCAGACCCCCACCGCTGTCCCTGCTCCCTCCACAGCACTCCAAGGCTCCTGCTTTACCCGTGCTCGGGTTGGAGGAGCCCCAGGACCACTCTCCTCGCCAGCAGCTCCCTTAGAGGGTCCCCAGGACACCACGCTGCTCTTCGAGTCCCGCTTTGAGAGTGGGAACCTCCAGAAGGCCATCAAGGTGTAAGAGAGAGGCGGTGGGGCATAGGGCCTCTCCTGCCAGCGTGGATCCGGAGCACTGCCCTTCCCTCCACGCAGGGGTCCCTACGAGTACGTGCTGATGCTGCGGCCAGACCTGTACACGGCCAAACACACACAGTGGTTCTACTTCCGCGTCCAAAACACGCGCCAGGAGCCGCTCTACCGCTTCACCATCGCCAACATGGCCAAGCCCAAGAGCCTCTACGGCCAGGGCCTGCAGCCCCTGCTCTACTCCCAGCGGGACGCCCAGAGCCGTGGCATAGGCTGGCGCCGGGTCGGGACCGACGTCCGCTACTACCGTGGCAGTGCAGGGGAGCCGCCGACGTCGCGGCTCAGCTGGAGCGTGCGCTTCCCGCACGACGGCGACACGTGCTTCTTCGCCGCCTGCTACCCCTACACCTACTCGGAGCTGCAGCGCTACCTGCGCGCGCTGGCGGCCGACCCGGCGTGCTCCCGCTTCTGCACGGTGCAGGCGCTGTGCCGCAGCCTGGCCGGCAACACCGTCCACCTGCTGACCGTCACCGGCCCGGGCGGCACGGCCGGCAAGCGGGCGGTGGTGGCGAGCGCCCGCGTGCACCCCAGCGAGAGCGGCGGCTCCTGGGCCATGAGGGGATTCCTGGATTTCCTGCTGAGCGCCCACGAGGACGCGCAGCTCCTGCGCCGCCTCTTCGTCTTCAAGGTGGTGCCGATGCTCAACCCTGACGGGGTGGTGGTGGGCAACTCCCGCTGCTCCCTGGCGGGACGGGATCCCAACAGGGCCTACGGGAAGGCGCTTCCCGGCTGCTTCCCCGGCGTGTGGCACCTGCGGGCCATGGTCCAGAGGTGAGGCAGGGGCGGGGAGCTGGCGGGACGGGGCCGCCCCCGTGGCGGTGCTGGTGGCCGTATCCTGATCGTGCAGGGTGCTGGCGGAGCGGGAGGTGGTGCTGTACTGCGACTTCCACGGGCACAGCCGGAAGCACAACGTCTTCATGTACGGCTGCGATGCCGGCGGGGACACCGGGACACGGCTGCGCCAGCGCGCGTTCCCCCTGATGCTGAGCAAAAACGCCCCCAACAAGGTGGGACACGGGTGCAGCCACTGTGCCACCTCCCAAGCTGTCCCTGTGGGGCTGGGACCCCTCTGACCCCGGGCACCCCCAGTTCTCCTTCTCCAGCTGCAAGTACCAGGTGCAGAAGAGCAAAGAGGGCACAGGCCGGGTCTCCCTGTGGCGCCTGGGCGTCTCCCACAGCTACACCCTAGAGGTGGCCTTCAGCGGCTCCACGCTGGGTGAGGGGCTGCCACAGCCACGGGGACAGTGCCAGTGGGGTGGTCCTGGGTTGGGGAGCTGCCCTTGTTTCCTTTTCCCTGTCCCCTGCAGGTGGGAGGAGCTCCCACTTTAATGTGGAGGACCTCGAGTCACTGGGCCGCCTCCTCTGTGACACTCTGCTGGACTTCTGCGACCCTGCCCCCGCCAAGGTGGGCTTGGACCTGGCCCAGGGTGCCCCGGTGCCGTGGGACCACGGTGACACCGCGGCCCTGGCACTGTCCCGCAGCTCCAGCAGTGCCTGGTGGAGGCGGAGGCGCTGCTGCAGCGGCAGATGGGTCGTGAGCCAGGCTCTGGAGGCAGCTGGAGCCATGTGTCCCCCTCAGAGCTCGAGTCCAGGTATGTCATCTCCTGTCACCTCATGTCACCCGTGCTGCCACTGGGGGCTGCAGATGGTTCTTTCCCCCTGCAGCACCAGTGGCTCCGACAGCTCCGTGTCCGAAGGGATCCCAGATGACTTCCACAGCCCCGAGCGCCCAGTGAGTCTCCATGTGCCACTGATTTCGAGGTGGCAGGGACGCAGAGCCAGGGTGGAACATGGTGACAGAGGGTGCAGATGTCCCAGTGCCACTTCATCACCTGGCACAGGTGGAGCCACGCAGGAAGAAGCAGCTGCGGAAACGGAGAGCAAGGAATGTCCTGTGCCGAACAAACCGGAGCCAATCCAGCATCCCGGTGAGCCTGGAGCCACCACAGTCCATCCCGGCCCCGAGGGGACAGTCCTGCAGGGACACCTGTCCCCAGTGCTGTCCCAGCCCTCAAGTGGGTCTGACCCCTCTCCTGTGCCCCCAGGCTGGGACCCGCAGGCCTCCAGCTCCTCCTGGTGTCCAGAGCGGAGGTGGCAGTGCAGGAGAGAAGCCCAGAGCCAGCTCCAGTGTCACCTTTCCCAGGGCAGCTGGAGCAGGGAATGGCCCCCGTGCCAGCAGGGGCGAGGTGCCTGGAGCTGACTCTGGAGTGACCCTTCCCAGGGCAGCTGGAGCAGGGAATGGCTGCTGTGCCACCATGGGACAGCATCAGCCAGACCGTGGCACAAGCGCTGTGACACGTCGCAAGCCACCACTGAGCCCCTGCCACCGTGCTGCCACCAGGGACCCTTCCCGGGATGCAGGAGCGATCCTGGGGCCACCCAGGCAGCGGGGCGGGTGCGGGGACAGGGCACGTCCCCTCTCTGTCCGTGCAGCGGCCCCGCGCTGCTGCGCCTGCGCTCGCCAGTAAAGGTGCTGCCACCTCCATGTCCGTGCCTGGTGCTGCCTGTTCGCATTGTCATGTCCCCTCCGGGGTCCTCTTGTCCCCGGGCCCGGCCAGAGTCTGCTGGCACCCAACCCCGAGCCACCATGGCGTCAGCCTACGCCTGTGGTGCTACCTGGGGCCCTGCCACCACGGTGTCACCTCTGTTGTCACCTCAGCCCTGCCACCACGGTGTCACCTCGGGCTCTGGGGATGTGGTGTCACTAGCTCCCCCACCCAGGTGCCTCCTGAGCCCTGTCGCCCGCTGTTCCCCCGTACCGCGGTGTCCCCGCAGGCTCCGTGGGTGCCCCCGGTCCCGCAGGCCCCGTTGCCATGGCAACGCCGCCGGGCGTTTCCATGGCAGCCGCTGCGCTCCCAGGGCGCCCCCCAGCGGCCGGAAGCGCGTCACGGCGGCGCCGGAACTACCGGGGAGGCGGAAGCGGAAGCGGCGGCAGCCGCGGCCGTGTCCTTCTGTGCCGTGACGCCGGGGCGGCACCATGGCGGACGCGGCTTCGCAGGTGCTGCTGGGCTCGGGGCTCACCGTGCTCTCGCAGCCGCTCATGTACGTGAAGGTGCTGGTGCAGGTAAGGGCGGGGTTTGGAGGCGGTACCGGGCCCGGTATCGGCCGCGCGGGGGGTACAGCCTGCCCGTTCCCGCTGCAGGTGGGCTACGAGCCGCTGCCGCCCACCCTGGGGAGGAACATCTTCGGCCGCCAGGTGTACCAGCTGCCCGGCCTCTTCTCTTACGGTGAGTCCGCCCTGGTGGGGCCGCCCCGGCGCCGGCCCGGTGCCGCCGCGGGGTCCCCGCGGGGCTGACGGTCCCCGCTGTCCCCAGCCAAGCACATCGTAAAGGTGGACGGGAGAGCAGGACTCTTCAAAGGCCTCGCCCCCCGCCTCTGCTCCAGCGCCATCGGCACCGTGGTGCACAGCAAAGTGCTGCAGGTACCGGCACGGGCGGGGCGCCGGGGCGCTGCGGGAACCGGGGGCTCCGCCGCCGGCACGGGGCCGCACCGGGGCCCCCTGGCTCCCCGCACGGCGCTGACCCTGCGCTCACCCTGCCCTTTGCTCCACAGCGGTACCAGGAGGCCGAGCAGGCTGAGGTGGGTGCAGAGGTGCTTCCCGCGGGGAACCTTCCCATCCCATCCCATCCCATCCCATCCCATCCCATCCCATCCCTGTCTCCTCCTTTCTCCCTCTTTCTATTTCTCTGTTCTCCTATTCCTCCCTTCTCTTTTCTTTCTTTTCTTCTTTCCCTCATTCCTTTCTCTTTTTCTCTTTCTCTGTTTCTTTCCCTTCTCCTCTTCTCTCTCCCCTTCCCTCTTGCCTTCATTCTCTCCGTTTTCCCTTCTCCATGCCTTCCCTCCTCCTGTTCCCCTCAGTTTTTTCTTCCTCCTCCCCCCTCTCTCCCCTCTCTCCCTCGTCCCCACGGCTCCTGGATTCGGGCAGCCCCAGCCCTGCCTCCGGAGCACTCCCAGGGGACAGCGTCCCCTCTGTGGCAGCCGCTCCCCCCAACTCCTCCCTGCCCCTGCAGCCTGGAACCAGCAAGAAGGAGCCGGTGTCCTCGCTGGAGCACGTGCTCAAGGAGGTGAGGAGGAGGAGGAGGAGGAGGAGCAGGGGAGGAAGGCAGCGGGGTGCCTGTCCCCCCCCGCTGACGCCCGCTCTGTCCCCAGACCTCCCGGGAGATGGTCGCCCGCTCTGCCGCCACCCTCATCACCCACCCCTTCCACGGTAGGTGTGCCCCCCTCCCAGGGGACACAGGGGGCAGCCTCGGTGTCCCCGGTGTCCCCCGGTGTCACCGTGTGTCCCCGCAGTGATCACCCTGCGCTGCATGGTGCAGTTCATCGGCCGCGAGACCAAGTACAGGTAGGGCTCGGGGCTGTGGGTGCGCGCCGGGCCCGCCCCGCCGGCACCCCTGACGGTGCCCTCCTCTTCTCCCCATCCCAGCGGGACACTAAGCGCCTTCGCCACAATCTACCGGGAAGAGGGAATCCTGGGATTCTTCGCGTGAGTGCCGGGGAGGCGGGGTGACATCACCGGAGAGGTCCCAGAGCCACCTTGGGAGTACCTTGAACCCCTCCAGCAGCTCTGGGTCACTCACCCAAGCATCCCCAGGGATGCTGTTCCCCATCTCCCCGTCCCACAGCAGCTCTCAGATCCCAACCTCAGCCAACATTCCCGCTGTTTCTGCCCCTGCAGCGGCCTCGTCCCGCGGCTCCTCGGGGACATCCTGTCCCTGTGGCTGTGCAACATGCTGGCCTACCTCATCAACACGTACGCGCTGGAGAACGGGGTAGGCTCCGCTCCGGCGTCCGGAGCGCCGCGAGCGCACGGGGGCAGCTCCAGGGCTCTTCTGGGGTCCCGTTTTGGGGGGACTCAGGTGTGCTGCTCCCCGCTCAGGTCTCCACCATGACTGAGATGAAGAGCTACTCCCAGGCGGTCACTGGGGTGAGTACGGCCACGGGCAGGGAGTGGATCCTTTCCCTAGGGAGTGGTGTGCTCCCGGAATCCTGCGGCTGCCAGGCTGGGAGCAGCTGGACTAGCCCACAGGCCAAGGGATGCTCCGTGGAGGACACGTGTGACGCTGTGGAGGTGGCAGGAGTGGGCTCCCTCCCCCTGGTGAAACTCCAAGGGGTGCTCCCGATGCGGAGGGGAGAGGGAGCACCCCCCTGATCCCCGCTTTTCCTGCAGTTCTTTGCCAGCATGCTGACCTACCCCTTCGTCCTGGTCTCCAACCTGATGGCTGTGAACAACTGCGGGTGAGTCCCTGGTCCCAGTGGCACCTGCATCCCTCTGCCCCGGATCAGCTCCTGGAACCACTGTACCAAAATTCCCACGTGGAAAGGTGCTCCCAGTGCTCCACAGGGTTGATCCCTCCTTGCTTGAAGTGGGAGAGGGTCACAGCCCAGTGTGGAGCTGCAGAGGGAATGGGTCATTCCTGGGTGGGAATAATTCCCTGTGGGAATAATTCCTGGTGGGTCTTTCCTCTCTTCCCCAGGTTGGCCGGGGGTCTCCTTCCCTATGCACCCACCTACTCCTCCTGGCTGGATTGCTGGAGCCAGCTGCACAGGGAGGTAAGTGCTGGAGCTGGGATGCACTCCATACACCGGGACACGGAGAGGAGCCAGGTGGGATTTGGAGAGGCCATTTGTGGCCCCTCCATGGTCGTTTTCCCTTTCCAGGGCAACATGAGCCGAGGGAACAGCCTGTTCTTCCGCAAGGTTCCAGCAGGGAAGCGATACGTGTGGGAGGAGCAGAGGTTCCGCTGATTCCGGAGATGGGAGTGGGATTGTGGAGCCGATGGCGGGCTCTGGAAGCAAAGAATCATGGAGAGTGATGATTTCTATACAGTTTTTTAAAAATCATTTCCTGCTGAGAGCTGAAGACGCAGGTGTGAGAGTCTCTGTCCATGGGGGCTTCCTGGGAAGCGGAGCTGGCCGGTCACCAGCATTCCCTGATTCATCCAGGAGCCTTTTCCCAGCCTGGAACACCACTGAGGCTGTTTCCACAGCGGAAATTCCCTGACAAGCCCAGGCACCTGGTGGCACGGAGGGCCAGGGGCACGTGGGGGCTGTCAGAAGTGGGGGGAGCGTGTGCCTGGGAGGGGTTGTTGGACACTTGGAAGGGGTTGCTGGGCACCTGGAAGGGATTGTTGGGCACCTGGAAGGGTCCTTGCAAGGCCCGTGGGAGGGCAGAGGTGAGCAGTGCACACCAGGCCGGAGGTTTGCACAGCCAGGGCGTGTGTGGAGCTGGGGTCACACAGCTGGTGGGGCTGTCACACAGCAGCAAGAGGGACACACGCCGGGGGACATTGCACACCTGGCAGGGGCTGGAGCAGGACTCGCACAGCCGGCAGGGACGCTGTGAGGGTGGCACGGGGGTCACACGCGGGGGCGGCTGTCGCACACACGGCGGGGACACGGCCAAGCTGACCGGCGGTTTCAGAGCCGGCCGGGGCCCCGGGCCCGCTGCCCCACCCCGGGCACAGAGGCGGCGCGGGGGGCGGTGCCGGTCCCTCCTCCGTCGCTGCCGCTCCCGCCCCGTGCCGGCGCCATGGCGGGCGCGGGCGGTGCCGGGGACGCCGGGGATGTGCTGAGCGGCGGTGCCGAGCGGCGGTGCCGGGCGCGGCTGNCGGCGGCGGCGGCGGTGCTGGTGCCGCTGTGCTCGGTGCGCGGCCGCCCCGCGCTGCTCTTCACGCTCCGCTCCCGCCGCCTCGCCGGCCCCCACAGCGGCGACGTCAGGTACCGGCGGGGGGAGCGGGCACCGGGGCCGGGCCCGCCCTGACCCCTCCCCGATCCCTCCCGCAGCTTCCCCGGTGGGCGGCGGGACCCGGCGGACGGGGACGCGGTGGCCACGGCTCTGCGGGAGACGCGGGAGGAGCTGGGGGTGGCGGTGGCAGCCACCAGCGTCTGGGGACAGCTTCGGACGCTGCCCGACCGGGTACCGGGGATCGGCGGGGCTTGGAGGCGCGGGGACGAGGGCGTGCGGGGACAAGAACAAAGGGGGGGCAGGCGGCAGGGACACGGCGTGGGTTCAAGGTGACAGGGAAGGCGGCAGGGTCACGGGTGACTGGGATCAGAGTACAGGGACAAGGGTCATGGTGTGATGGCTTTGGGGTGACAGGGATTTGGGTGACAGGGACACCGAGAAGGAGGGGGTTCGGTTGACAGAGACAAAGCAGTGGGGACACAGGTGACAGAGCAAGGGCTCTGGGTGACAGGGTGCAGGTCACTGGGGTCCAGGGGGACAGGAACACCAGTGAGGGGGGGTTGCAGGCAGCAGAGGATTGGAATGACAGGGAAAAGGCAGCAGGGTCAGGGGTGACAGGGACAAAGCAGCAGGGTCACGTGTGGCAGATTCAGGGGGGCACGGGTGACGGGTGTTACAGGTGATGGCGATTCTGGGTGACAAGGACAGGGCAGCAGGGACACGAGTGACAAGATTTCTGGGGATTGAAGGTGACAGGACACAAGGCAGTGGCACTGGTGAGGGGTGACACACAGGGTGGGTGCCTGCACTGGGTGCAGGGGGTCAGGCACGGGCACTCTGGGGCGGGGGTGTCACCCTGTCCCTTGCTGACACATCTTCCAGCATGGAATGACCGTGGCGCCCATCGTGGCCAACCTGGGCCCGCTGGAGGCCTTGACTCTGAGCCCCAACCCTGACGAGGTGAGTGCCTCCTCCCCCGGCTGCCCCCTCCCCGTGGAGCCGCTCCGCTCACCGCGGCGTGTGCCGACAGGTGGAGGAGGTGTTCACCCTGCCCCTGGCTCACCTGCTCCGCGAGGAGAACCAGGGCTACACGCACTTCCGCACGGCCAGCGGCTACGGCTACACCCTGCCCGTGTTCCTGAACGGCCCCCACAAGGTGTGGGGGCTCACGGCCATCATCACCGAGCTGACCCTGGAGCTGCTGGTGCCGGGCCGCTACCGCAGGAAGACGCGCGTGCCTGCCCGGAAAGGCCCGGCCTGAGTGGGGGTCCCCGTGCCTCGGTTCTCCACCACGCACGGGGGAAACGGCTCCGGGCCCAGCAGGGATGTCGCACACTGTGATTCAGTAAAAGCCATGTTTGGAACTGCCCTGGGCTCCGAGTTGTGGAGTGGGGCCAGGACAGCTGTCCCTTGGCACGGGCGCAGGAGGAGGAGTCCTGGTGCCACTGCGGCAGGGTCAGGGAGTGTGGATTGCCAAGGAGGGACTGTCTGTTAGTACCCTACAGCCATCGCCTCTGCCCCAGCCTCGTGGAAATCCAGGAGCTCCCCTCTGGGGTATCCAGGCCCCAGCTGTGTGACCCCATGATTCCCGGGGATCTCGTGCTCCAGGGGCAGCAGGACCCAGAGGCCCTCTGCCCCCTCAGTCCCTTCCTACCATTTAATGTCCACAGCAGAGCCTGGGAGCACAGCAGCATTTATTGAGAACCCTTTGAGTGCTGCCAGCACCCCAGAACCCCCTTCCAAGCAGGAGAAGGGAGGCGTGGTGGTGAATCCTTACGCCGACGCCGCTCGGGCTTTGGCCTCGTGGAAGCGCCGCATCCTCTCCTCCAGCTCGGGGCGGAAGTGGCGGATGAGGCCCTGCATGGAGCGGGGGAGTTGTTGATGCCCTGGGGGAAGGCTGGGGGAAGGCTGCCGGCCCCTCCAAGCACTCACCTGCACGGGCCAGGCCGCGCCGTCGCCCAGGGCGCAGATGGTGTGTCCCTCGATCTGCTTGCTGATCTCCCAGAGCGCGTCGATCTCGGCGGCCTGCGCGTCGCCCCGCACGAACCGCGCCATCACCTTGTTCATCCAGTCCACGCCTGCGGGAACCGGGCTGGGATGGGTCCCTGCAGTGCCCGCCCCGCAGCCCCTCAGCCACGGCCCCCACTCACCCTCCCGGCACGGGGTGCACTGCCCGCAGCTCTCGTGCTTGTAGAACTCGATCAGGCGCGCGATGGCCTTGACGATGTCGGTCTGGGAGGAGGGGGAGGGTGAGGAAGGTGAGGATCCCACCGCGGCTGGGGAGGCGGGGGGCCCATCCCTTACCGATTTATCCATGACGATGACGGCGGCCGTGCCCAGCCCGCTCTGCGCCTGCACCAGGGAGTCGAAGTCCATCAGCACCGTCTCACACACCGACTTGGGCAGCAGCGGCGTGGAGGAGCCGCCGGGGATGACGGCCAGCAGGTTGTCCCAGCCCCCACGGACACCCCCTGCAAAGAGGAGGGTCAGACAGGCAGCCCCGGCCTCGCTCCAGCCCGGCTCCGCCGCGGCGCTCACCAGCATGTTTCTCGATGAGCTCCTTCAGCGGCACCGACATCTCCTCCTCCACTGTGCAGGGCGTGTTGACGTGCCCCGAGATGTTGAAGAGCTTGGTGCCGGAATTCCGCTCCCGGCCGAAGCTGGCGAACCAGGCGCCGCCGCGCCGGCAGATCGTGGGCGCCACCGACACCGTCTCCACGTTGGCCACCGTGGTGGGGCAGCCGAACACACCTGGGGAAACGATGGGAAAAAATTCCTCCCCTTGAGGGTGGTGATGCCCTGGCACCAGTGGCCCAAAGATGCTGTGGCTGCCTGGCAGCGTCCAAGACCGGGTTCAACAGGGCTTGGATCAACATGGGATCACGCAGCCCATGGAAGCGGGGTGGAATGAGACAATCTTTCCAGCTCCCTTCCAACCCCCACCATTCTATCAAACAGTGGGAGCTCTGAATGGATGTGGTGCTGTCCCTGCAGCGGGACGGTGTCCTGGGGACAGCTGTTGAGGGGTGGCAGCTGGGAGCTGCGGGGCCGTACCCACGTCGGCGGGGAAGGGGGGCTTGAGGCGGGGCTTGCCCTGCTTGCCCTCGATGGACTCGATGAGCGCCGTCTCCTCCCCGCAGATGTAGGCGCCGGCGCCGCGCACCACGAACACGTCGAAGGCGTACCCCGAGCCGCAGGCGTCGCCGCCCAGCAGCCCGGCCTCGTAGGCCTCGCGGATGGCCACCTGCGGGGGGCAGGGGGTGAGCCCGGCAGCGCCCCGGGGGCCGCGGGCCGGCCTTGGGGCGCCGCCGCACCTGCAGGTTGGAGGCCTCGTTGTAGAACTCGCCGCGGATGTAGATGTAGGCGGCGCGGGCGCCCATGGCCCGCCCCGCCACCAGGCAGCCCTCCAGCAGCTTGTGCGGGTCGTGCCGCATGATCTCCCGGTCCTTGCAGGTGCCCGGCTCGCCCTCGTCCGCGTTCACCACCAGGTACTTGGGTCTGCGGGCAGCCCGCGTCAGGCGGCTGGCACGGCCCGGGGCGCTGCCGGGGCCGCGCGGTCCCGCGCTCACCTCCCGTCCGGGGGTTTGTTCATGAAGCTCCACTTGAGCCCCGTGGGGAACCCGGCGCCGCCGCGGCCCCGCAGCCCCGAGGTCTTGATCTCGCCGAGGATCCAGTCCACGCCCTTGAGCAGGATCTCCTTCGTCTTGTACCAGTCGCCGCGGCGCAGCGCGCCCTGCAGCCTGCGGGCAGCGGGCACGGTGGCTCCGGACTCCGGGCACCGGGCATCGAGCGCCGGGCACGGTGACACCGAGCACCGGGCATCGAGCACGGGGCACCGGGCACCGGCGCTCCCCGCGCTGCTCCCGCTACTCACCGCCAGTCGTGCCGCCCGTAGAGGTTGGTGAAGATCCGGTCCTCATCCCGCAGCGACCCGAACTGCGTCTTCTTGGGCGCCGTCTGCGGGGACACACGCATTCAGCACCGGCAACACCGGGACCGGCACCGCACGGTCCCGGCGCTCCCCGCGCGGTCGCCGCTCACCGAGAAGGAGGCGGCGGGCAGGCGCCGCAGCGCCAGCAGCTGCCTGCCGGCCATGGCGGGGCCCCGGCACCGGCACCGACCACCGTCACCTTCAGCCGCCCCCGCGGTGACGTCACGGGAGCGCCGGCGCGCGGTAGCGACGTCACTCGAGAGGCCGGACCATGGCCGGCTCGGGGGCGGGGTCTAGGAGCAGAGGTTCNCCCGAGCCCCCCGGGGCGCCCCGCTCCCCCCCCAGCGCCCCGGGGGGCCGCTGCGCTCCACCCGATCTCCTGTGCTCCGCCGCGCGTCCCGGGGGCGGCGGCGGCCTCGTCCCTGCGAGGGACGAGCGCGGGTTCGGGGCGATCTGGTTTCTCCCGCTTGGCCCCGTGGAACGGGAGCGGGCGGGATGTTCTTCCTCTTCCGCGCTCCGCAGCGGCGCGGCACCGGCAGCCCCGCGCGCTCCCGCGGCTCCCGCCCGGCCCCTCGGCTCCGGGGTCCCGGCGCCGCGGGCAGCCGGGGGAGGTTGAGCCGTAGCGGTGCCTCCCCCACGGAGCTCCAGCGGGCTGCCGAGGGGCCGGGGCCCCGGCCGTGCCCCGCTTTTGGGCAGGTAACCGGCGGCGGGGACGGGGCCGGGGCACGGCGGGCGCCGGGGATCCTGCGTGCCCTCGCAGGGAGGCTGCGGGACCGGGGAACAGCTGGGCGGCTGCCCACATCTGGAGCAGGGCGGGCGAGCGGGGAATAATCCGGGGGATTATGCACGCGGGCGCGGCACCCACCCCCCCGCGCCTGCCCTGCATATCCCCAGATATTCCATAAAAACCTCAAATCCCCGGTGGCAGCCCCGCGGTCTGCGCCAGCCGGGCCCCCCCGGGGCCAGGCATGTCCTGCGGCGCGGGGGCGGCCCCCAGCCATGGGCAACTGCACCAAGACCCCTGAGCGGCGGCTCCCCAAGGTGCGGCAGGGTGCACCCGCCGGGCAGCAGCAGGAGAAGGAGGAGGAGGAGGAGGGGGGAGTCCCGGCTTGGCCCCCCCCTCGCCGCTGACGCCTGCTCCTCCCGCAGGATGGGAAGCCACGCTCGGGCGCTGCAGGCTCCGGCGCAGGGGACCCCGAGGACGTGCTGGACGCGGCGCAGACCCCCCCGATGCAGGGGTACTCGGTGCTGCAGGGGCTGGTGGGGCCGGCCTGCATCTTCCTGCGGCAGAGCATCGCCATCACCCAGCGGGTACGCGACCGTCCCCTCCCCGTGTGCTGCCCGGGCTCCCGGGGGGCTCAGGGCAGAGCCCCTGCGGGATCCCCGGGAGCAGGACCCCTCCTCCGTCTCCTCCCGTTCTCTCTTTCCCAGGACCGGGAGCTGCGGCCCGAGGAGATCGAAGGTGAGGCGCTGGGGAGGGGGTCCCGCTTGGGCGGGTGGCGGTGCCGGGGTGCCAGTGGTGACGCCGTGGTGTCCCCAGAGCTGAAGCAGGCGTTCCGGGAGTTCGACAAGGACCACGACGGCTACATCAGCTACAAGGACCTGGGCGAGTGCATGCGGACCATGGGCTACATGCCCACCGAGATGGAGCTGATCGAGCTGTCCCAGCAGATCAGTACGTGGCGGGGCAGCGGGCGCCCATCCGTCCCTGCCGCTGCCCCGCTGACACCCCTCTCCTGCCGCAGCCGGGGGCAAGGTGGATTTCGATGATTTCGTGGAGCTGATGGGCCCCAAGATGCTGGCGGAGACCGCGGATATGATTGGGATCAAGGAGCTGCGCGACGCCTTCCGCGAGGTACGGGGCCGGCGGGGACAGGCGGGCGGGCTGCCAGCGTGCCGGGGGTGGCCGGTGGCAACGGGACCTCGTCCGTAGTTTGACACCAACGGGGACGGACAGATCAGCATGGCGGAGCTGCGGGAGGCCATGCGCAAGCTCCTGGGGCAGCAGCTCAACTACCGGGAGGTGGATGAGATCCTCAAGGACGTGGATCTCAATGGCGATGGCCTGGTGGACTTTGAAGGTAGGAGCAGGGAAGGGGCTGGGAGCTGGGAAGGGGCCAGGAGCTGGGAAGGGGCCGGGACGGTGCACGTGTGTGTTCCCCCGGCAGAGTTCGTGCGGATGATGTCACGCTGAGGGACCCGAGCCCCCCGTGCCTTACGGAGACGAGGGGGCCACGGAGGGACCCCCGGCTGCACGGTGCCCGTGCCTGGGTGCCGGAGCTGCTCCCGGCTGAGGTCTGGCCGTGGTGGAGGCACCGGGGCCGAGGTCGGGAGCCTTTTCTGCACAGGCTCGGCCCAGCTTCGACTGCTCTCGCCCTCGTCTCTGCCCTCTCCCTGCATCGTCCCCCTTCCCATCCAGAGCTCACCCTGGAAGTCACACCATCGTGGTCCCCTCTCCTTCGGCTGTTCCCCATCCCTGCTGCTCATCCCTCCAGCCTCCACTCCCACTCCGTGTGCCGCACTGAGCCCCTCTGGCTGCCCCCACGCAGGGTTTAATGCGGGCTGCACAGCATAACCCGCCCCGTCACCATGGCTGGAGCTCAGACCCACCCAGACCTGCCCGGGGTGAGGCATCCCTGCATCCCTGCATCCCTGCATCCCTGCATCCCTGCCCTTTCGGGGCTGGCACAGACCCTCAGGGATGTTCTGCCAGCCCCCAGCACAGGGGGACTCCTGGCAGCCCAGCCAGGAGACCCCCAGGAGAGAAATAAAGCATTCCTGGGTGGAAGGGCCTCAGCCAGCTGCAGGCAGGGCCGCTGTAGGTACCCTCCCTGCCCTGGCTGCAGTTTTGGGGCCAATTTTGCCCTTTTGAAATGATAAAACTCTCTCCACAGACTTTTGCTTTGTGTTTTGTGTTGTTTCCAAAGAGTTTATTCGTGATCGTGCCATCCACTGGTATCCCCCACAACCCTGGACTTGAGTCTCACGGGAGCCCCGCAGGGAGCCGGGACCGCGGGCACGGGGCTCCGGGGAATGCACGGCCGGCGGGTGGGGCCGGTTCCCCGAAGTCCGGGCCGGGGTCCAGCCCCGCAGGGTCGGGGCGCCCTGACCGGCGGCGGCTCGGGGCTGTGGGGTCCCTTGGTGGCGGTGCCGCTCCCGGTGCCCCCCCCGTGCCCCGAGGCGGTGCCGCCGGTCGGTCACGTGACCCCCGGGAGGGCCCCCGCCGGGCGAGGGGGCGTGGCCTCGGCAGCAGTCACGCGGTGGGCGAGGCGCCGAGGGGGCGGGGCCGACGCCGCGGGTCTCCACGGTGACCGGGCGGCGGGCGCGCGGCGGCGTGATGACGTCGCGCTCGTGACGCGCCTGCGTCATCACCGCGAGCGCCGGCGGCGGAGGGGGGAGAGACCCGGGTCAGGCCGGGGCCGCGCAGCGCTACCGGGAACCGGGGCCGCCGCGCTCCGCTCCGGTTCCCGGCTTCCCGCCGGGCCGAGCGGGGCCGAGCTGAGCTGAAGAGAGGCGGGCACCGGCGATACAACCGGCGGGGCGAGCGCGGGGGCCGCACGCCGACCCCCGCCGCGGGGCTCCAGGGATCCGGGAGCGGCGGGCGGCCGTCGGGGATGTCCTACAAGCCCATCGCTCCCGCCCCCGTTACCCCCGGAGCCGCCAGCGCCAGCCCCGCCCCGCCGGGGCCCGGGGCACCGTCCGCCGGTGAGAGAGCGCCGCGGTAACCGCGGGGGACGGCGGGCACCGGGAGCGGAGAGCGACCGGAGGGAGGGAGGGAGGGGGGCACCCCGGGAAGGGATGGCACCGGCGGAGGGAGGCACCGAGGAAGAGGGAGCGCGGCCGTGACCCTCCGTTTCTCGCAGCCACGAGTGTCCCGTCGCCCTCCGGTTCCGTGCCTGGCGCCGCCGCCCCTTTCCGGCCGCTCTTCAATGACTTCGGGCCGCCGTCCATGGGCTACGTGCAGGTGAGGCGCGGCCCGGGGCCGCCGGGGCCGGGCGCGGCGGCGGCGGGGGCGGCCCCCAGCCGCTCCGTCCCTGCTCGTGCCCCTGTTCCCGCAGGCCATGAAGCCCCCCGGGGCGCAGGGCTCGCAGAGCACCTACACCGACCTGCTCTCGGTCATCGAGGAGATGGGCAAGGAGATCCGGCCCACCTACGCCGGCAGCAAGAGCGCCATGGAGCGGCTGAAGCGGGGTAGGGGCCGGGCGGGGAGGCGGGCTGCGCCCCCGAGGCTCCTCAGGAGCGTGGTTCGAGGTGTCCCTGTGCTTCTCCCCGCAGGGATCATCCACGCCCGGGCGCTGGTCAGGGAGTGCCTGGCAGAGACAGAGCGGAACGCCCGCACGTAACGGCAGCTGCCGGCCGGGACCCCCCGGGAGCTCCCGGTGGTGGCGGCGGCGGGGGGGCCGCCGTGCTGCCCGAGCCCCCCCTCCCCGCGCTCTCCGCTCTTTATAAATGCGTGTTTTTATAAATAAAGGACAATGTTGGGACTTGGCCTCGGTGTGTCCCCGCGCGGGCGGGTCCCGATGTGGATGGCGGGGGCGTTGGGGGAGGGCTTGGAGCAGCGCTGGGTGGGTGTCCCGGAGCTGAGAGTGCCGGAGTGAGCGAACCTCTCGCTGATCGCTTGAAAACGCGGCTTTTTAAATAAAACACCGGGTTTTTCCGGGGGCGGCGGCGGCGGTACACGCGGAGCGCCCGTGAGTGGCGCTCGCTGCCTTCCGCTCTCTGACGTCACGGCCCCCCCCCCTCACCTGCCTACGTCACGGCTGTCGCCGTGGGAACGGGCTGTGATGTCACGAGCCGAGGGGCCGGTGCGCAGCGGCGCAGGTTTGGTGGGGCCGGGGGGCGGCGGGGACCGGGCGGGCGGGCGGGGGGGAGCGGAGGGCCCCGTTGCCATGGCAACGGAGCCGAGCCGAGCGGGGCCGAGCCGGGCCGAACCCGGGGCCGAGAGGGGCCGAGCGGTACCGGACTGAGCCGAACGTGGGACTGAGCCGGGCCGAACCTGGGGCCGGGGGCGGCCGAGCGGTACCAGACTGAACCGAACCGGGAGCCGAGCGGTGCCGGACTCCACCGAACCCAGGGCCGAGCTTTTCCGAGCCGGGCCGAGCGGTGCCGAGCGGTACCGGACTCAGCCGAGAGTGGTGCCGAGCCGGGTCGAACCCGGGACCGAGCGGTGCCGGACTGAACCGAACCCGGAGCCGAGCGATACCGGCTTCAGCCGAACCCGGGGAAGGAGCGGCTCCGAGACGGGCCGAACCCGTACCGGGCTGTGCTGAGTGCGCCCCGAGCGGTTCTGAGGGTGCCGAACCGGCCCGAGGTGTCCCGGAGCCGGCCCGGTGCGGTGTAACGGAAACCCCCTCAGGAGCTGCCCCCGCTGTGCCCCGCCGCCGCCATGCTGATCAAGGAGTACCACATCCTGCTGCCCATGAGCCTGGAGGAGTACCAGGTGGCCCAGCTGTACATGATCCAGGTGGGAATGCGGGGCTGAGCAGGGGGGCCTGAGGGAGCTGCGGGGCTGAGCGGGGAGAGCTGGGGTTGCGGGGGTCTGCGGGATGAGCCCGGGGGCTGCGCGGGTCTGGGGTTTGTGGGGCTGAGCCTGAGGGGTCTGGGGCTTGTGGGGCCGAGCCTGAGGGGGTGCCCAGGGCTGTGGGGCTGGGCATGGGGAGCTGGGGGGTGCAGGGGTCTGGGGACTGTGACTGAGGGGGTGCAGGGGGCTGAGAGAGCCTGGAGATTGTAGCCTGAGGGGTGCAGTGGGCTGTGGGGAGGCATGAAGGGTGCAGGGGCTGAGCCTGGGGGTGCACGGGGGGACACAGTCTGAGCATGGGGTGTGAGGGGGCTGTGGGGCTGAGCGTGGGGAGCTGTAGGGCTGAGCATGCAGCCTGGGGGGGCACGGCGGGGGGCTGAGGGCGATCCCAAGGGATCACCCCTGCAGGTTGCAGGGGTTTCATTGAGGCTTCGGGTGGGTTTGGGACCACCGAGCCAAGCAGGGGGTCCTGCGAGCAGGTGTGGGGCCGGTGGGTGCCGGCACATGGGGGCAGGAGTGTACGCGGACCCGGGGCGCCCTGGGGGGGCCGCACTGAGCCGTCGTCTCCGTGCAGAAGAAGAGCCGGGAGGAGTCGAGTGGCGAGGGCAGCGGTGTGGAGATCCTGGCCAACCGGCCCTACAGCGATGGCCCTGGGGGCAGCGGGCAGTACACGCACAAGATCTACCACGTTGGCTCCCACATCCCCAGCTGGTTCCGGGCGCTCCTCCCCAAAGCCGCGCTCCAGGTGGAGGAGGAGTCCTGGAATGCTTATCCCTACACGCGCACCAGGTGGGAGCTGGGAGGTGGCGGGGTGGGCTGCAGGACTGGCCATGCCCCTGGGCTCAGTCCCGTGCCTCTCCAGGTACACGTGTCCCTTTGTGGAGAAGTTTTCCATTGAGATCGAGACGTACTACCGCCCGGATGCGGGGCAGCAGACCAACATCTTCAACCTGAGCGCGGCGGAGAAGAGGCAGAGGATTTTGGGTGGGTATGACTGGCCTGCGGAGCTGGGCAGGGCACTGTGGCTGCTGGGATTCCCACATAATGCTTCTGGAATGGGTGTGTGCTTGTGACAGGGCCTTAGGGGCTCAACTTCACTCTTGTTGCTGGTCCCAATGTTTCAGGGATGCTGGAAGGGAAAGGCTCCCTGGATTCTGAGCTCCCTGCCTGCTCCCTCTCATTGCTGCTGAATTAAGTTCCACATTAAAGATATTTTCAGGGACAGTTTTGTCCTCTGCCTCTTCCCTTGCCTCTATTTCTGTTTGCAGCTTCTCCTTTCTAGTGCCAGCTTGCTCTCCTCTCCTTCCATGTCCCAGCCTTGTTCTGGCGTGGATTTGTCTTCTCAGTCTCTCCTGGCATACATGGGACCCCACGCCTGGGTGCTGTGGGTTATTTTGGATCAGCTGGAGCAGGGAGAGCTGGAAAAGCATGTCCCCATTTTCCTGCTCCCTGCCCTGCTTCCCCTCTCCCCAGGGCTTTGCTCCAGATCACTCTCTGGCTCCTTTCTGCTGGGACTGGTGGGCAGAGCTGGGAGCTTGGGGTGGGATTCTTCCCTCTGCACCGAGTTCCCGTTCTCGGTGGTGTGGACATGGTCAGTTCAGGCGCCAGAGAGTGGAGTGTGACGTGCTGCCTCTTAAAATGGAGGCCCAAAATAGGCACTCGGAGGAAATGATTCATCTGACCTATTTCTCTCCCGGGCTCTTGCGGCACTGGGGATGTCCGGCCGGGATACCGATGGCTGGGGCCTGGGGGCAGGAATTCTGCCCCTACTGCCCCCAGGAAGCCACCAGGGCCAAGCAGACGCCATCAGGACATGGCCCTGTGCCCACTGCCTGCTTTTCCAGTCTCTGTGCTCATCCAGTGGGCATTCCACAGGGCACTCAGCATCTCCAGGGGCTGCTGCCTTCCACAGGGAGAAGGGCTGAAGTGGGACCAGCCCCAGTGTGGATCCCACTGGGATTTCTCTGCCCTGGTGTCTTGTAGCACTGACAGATTTAAACCCCTCTCACGTTTCAAAGGGCAATGGAAAAACATGGTCTGGGTGATCCGCAGGGATAACTGCTTCCTTGGCAGCTTTCTCCCAGTGGCAAAAGCAAAGGGACTTGGATTGTGATGGGAATGACACTGCCAGGAGCTGCTTGGGGACAGCAGGTCCTATCCCAGCTCTTTGCTGCTGTTATCCAAGATGCTTGGCATCATGCTGTGCATTGCATCATTTTTGTGGATTCAGGGCATCTCTAGTTCTTTTCCCCCTTTTTTCAGCCCCAGCTGGGGGAAGAGAGGCTGACAGCACCTTGGGGACATCAAGGGGTGCAAATAAATGGGTTTGGCACAGCCTGGAAATGGGGACAGTGCTGTGGGACTGTACTGGGAGCCAGTGGGGTGCCCTGGGATCCCCCAGACCATGACCTGGAGATGGGGCTGGAAAAGCCAAATTCTAGCAGATTTTGTGCTGGATTGAGCCCGAACGGCTGTTGGATTGTGTTTTCCTGAGTGTTGTTCAGGAGCCTTTCTCGGGGCTTGGGATGTCATCCTCGTTTGGGGGGAGCTCACCCTCATTTCGGGAAAGGTCACCTTTGTTTGGGGATGGGGCTCATTGCCCTCCCTCCCCCCCCCCCCCGGCTCTTTGGAGGCTCCTGTGGTAATTTTGCTGTGCCCTGTTTTTGGGGGACCCTTGGGCTTTTTGGGGAGGGGAGCTGGGAGTTGTGCCAAGCTGCCCCATGTGCTGTCCCCATCCTCAGCCCCCATGTCCCCCAGGGTGGCCAGGGTCACTCTGCAGCTGCCAGATCTGCCAGCTAATGCATGTATGTGTGTCAGCCCCGGCTCTCCCCAGCTCCCAGACCCTCCCTCCCTGTGCTGCTCTCTGGAATGCTGGACTGGGGTCCCACGTGGGGACAGAGATGTCTTTGGCTGCACCAAGGGTGTCTGCGATGTCCCAGCTGTGGGATTTTATATGTTCTATTAGGAAATTTTTCCCTGTGAGGATGGTGAGGCCCTGACACAGGCTGCCCAGAAAAACTGTGATCCTCCATCCCTGAAAGTGTCCAAGGCCAGGTTGGATGGGGCTTGGAGCAACCTGGGATAGTGGAAGGTGTCCCTGCCCATGGCAGGGGGTGGAATGAGATGATCCATAAGGTCCCTTCCAATCAAAGCCATTCCAGGTTTCTATGATTCCAGAACTCCAAGATTTTAGAATTCTCAGACAGAGAGTGTTTGCTGCCAGCTGTGTTGAGTGCACGGCTCATGGGAATAATCTGACCTTATTTTTGTCCTGTATTCCTTATTTTTCTACCTGTGCCCCCTTGCCAAGCACCGCGAGGTGACACGTGCCATTACCCCCACAGACACCATTGACATTGTGCGTGATCCCATCTCCCCCGGGGAGTACAAGCCCGAGGAGGATCCCAAACTCTACCACTCATCCAAGACGGGCCGGGGGCCGCTGGGGGATGACTGGCTGGAGGCAGCAGCAGCCAGCGGGCCCCTCATGTGCGCCTACAAGCTCTGCAAGGTGGAGTTCCGATACTGGGGGATGCAGTCCAAGATCGAGCAGTTCATCCATGACGTGGGTGAGTTTGGACCCGTGGGTTGCTGGAGGGATATTTGGGCAGCCGTGGGATCATGCTGGACTCGCCTCCTCCCTTCTCCCACCAGGTTTGAGGAAGGTGATGCTGCGTGCCCACCGCCAGGCCTGGTGCTGGCAGGATGAGTGGACGGACCTGACGATGGAGGATATCCGGCAGCTGGAGGAGGAGACGGCGCGAATGCTGGCACAGAAGATGGCCAAGTGTGGCGAGGGCGAGGAGCCGCCCACGGCTGGGGTCAGCCCCGAGGGGCAGCCGGAGACAGATGGTCCTGGCGGTCAGGAGGAGGCTGAGCTGCAGGCAGGGACCGATACCCCCTCAGATGATACGTTTGCCAAGCAGTGGTCCACCTCTTCCCGGTCTTCCTACTCTTCCCAGCATGGAGGT